CCAGGTAACAGGTACCAAGTATAACTTTTTCCCAATGGAAAACCAAAAAAGGCGAGTAGAGTCGAGGGGTGTCTCCCTCAGGTAAAACTGTATCGTTTATCAAGATCAAAGTAGTAGATTTGAGAAACAATGCTGGTCTAAACTGTGTAAATGAGCGGAAGTAGCCTTTAAGGCTTTTGGCAGCTTATTCAGTTTTTTTTTTTCTCCCTTTAAATCCACACTCGGTAGCAGTTGCAGGGATTGCTGTCAGACTTCTTCTGTTGGTGAATCCATGACCTTTTGACAGTAATAGACCGCTAATATTGGGAACTCATGTGACACGCTCTACTGAACACATTCAACCTGCATATGAGACAGACTTTTCAGAGTTTGAGTCTGCAAATACAGTTCCTCACACATCCCTGCTAAACCACTGAATTACAGAGAACTGCGTTACAAAGAATCTAATTAAGTTTCACTTTAGTTACATCTTTCTTGTGCTGTCTTTTTTTGTTATTTCACAAAATTGTCTGTTTACTAGAGCACATAATTAAATCCAACATGACCTGGTGTGAGATGGGTATAAGTAAGTCTGTCAAGACTGCTTCCAACCAAATCAGATATATTCTTCTCCTGACATTAATCTGTTCACACTAAAGTAAAATTTGAGCATCATTGAGCTCCTATTAGCCCACTATCATTTACGATGATCCAACCACAAGACTGTTCATCCCCTTCTGACATCTCATTATGCTTGTGGTTGGTATATGACTTTTTGGTAGATGTTTTAGTTAAAATGTAATTTTAAGACAAATACAGACTTGCAGATTTGCCTGAAGGTCTGTTTTTCTAGAGCGACAAAGGGGAGAATGCAACAAGCTGCTACAGGTTAACTATATCTGTAGGGGTGCAAGACCCACTTGCCCACTTGTCTTCAGACCCTGGAATTCCTAATCATGTTTATCAGACACAAACACCATGAACACCTCAAAGGGCGCTATATTTGACACTCTAGCGTCCCTCTTGCTCTCATTAGTCTTGCCCTTGCCAGAACTGCCTGCGGCCGATGGTGGAATGTGAAGAACGTCTGGCTCTGTGGTCAAACTGCCGGTCTCCTCTGCCCTGCCTGGGTTGATCAGGAGGTCGAGCTTCAGAGCTTAGCTTAAGTGTTACTGGTCATGGGATCATTGCTACAAGTCAGCTGTAGCTGCAGCAATTTTTTCATGTAGTTTTACGCTAGTGATTAAAGAGTGTTGATGGAACTAAGACTAATGTAAGAGGAGGCTTTTGTAGCGTGTCTGGACTGGAGTTAACATGCAGGATCCCTTAGGTGATTATCTTTGTAGGCTCTGTTGGCCAGGCTTCTGCAAGGACAGACATGAACCATGAATGTATGCTTATCAGAAATGTTGTTTTGTTTTTTTTGTCTTATACGTTGTCATGTTTGTCAGTTTAAAGCCTAGTAGTAGTCAAGTAAACATAAAACCAGTGTTTGTGCATAGTATAACATCCACTCATCTGGATAATATACCATATTTGTACACAGACACCACTGTAGTAGTACAGCAACTGGTTTGACAAGGTAAATACTCAGAGTGATGCTTGTTTTTTTGTGGGTTTGCATAGTTGAGAACCAGACTGACGATGATCCATAATAATTGGATCTGTGAATGTTGTGAAACTAGTGTGAAATAACTACTTTGAATTGTTGGCTTGTCTTACCCAGGGTTTTTCCTGGCTCAGACCGAGGCGGAGGTGGTACCATCCTGATCACGTGTACACACATGCATGCGTACCATGCCTTCAGCTGGCTCAGGCAGACACTTTTGTTTATTTAACCTAATTTAAATGTTTTTAAAGAGTTAAAAGGTGGGGTGGTGATGGCGCATAGATAAGGTGCTTGCCTTTGGTCTGGGAGACCAGGGTTCAATTCCCACTGTGAGACATCCATCCGTCCCTGAGCAAGACACCCGTAGTTGCTCCAGAGGCATGCGACCTCTGACATGTATAGCAATTGTAAGTCGCTTTGGATAAAAGCGTCAGCTAAAGGAATAAATGTAAAAGCTTAAAAGAGCAATGATCACAAACGCCGTCATTTGCAACGGCACTTTTAAACTCCTGCAGGTGATATAAAACCGTATTTTTGGTGTTTAGTTTTGCTGTGTGGCAAAGACGTTACGTTACCAGCAGGAAACACACTAACATTTTGTCAGGGTCTTTCCTGGTGCGCTGTGCTGATTGTGATACAGCGTCCACACAATGCTGCAATTGCTGTTACAAATAACTGAAATCCACAAAGTGCAATGCTTGCTAGAAAATGGTGTTGAAATGAAATTTGACACTAGCCGCCTCATAATTATCTTTGCAGGTAAAACCCTGGTGTCTCCGTGAGCACTTTGTTTCTTGTCAGACTTGTTTATGCTGTTCCTGTTGCTACACTTGGTCATCAGTCTGGGTCCTTCCTGCTTAACATCCTGTTCCTACAGTATTCAGGAAATCATGTGTTTTTAAAGTCCAGTGAACTCTGCTGTGATATACATCTCCTACTGTATGCAAATATTTCGTATTTTGTGATCAACTTTAATAAAGGTTTAATTTTAAAGTAGACTCAGCTGCAGAGGACAGGTGGCCAGTCTTATATTTAATGGCAACGTTATCTGATACCGGATGGTGGCTCATAGATCGCTATTGACAGCAGTGCCAAAGTCTGCTTTCTTTGCACTCCAGGGTGTGTTCCGTAGTCAGGGTGAGGTTTAGACAAGATCTTGATTTTCACATACTACACGTACACAGAGAGAGATTGAGTACATGCTCACATACACTGGGACTTTGATCACTACAGTTGGAGCTGGAGTATGTGTCTGTGTCAGTCAGGTGACTGCATGGTTACAGCCCTAATGTTGTCATAGTACAGAATCAATTGCTGTGATTTTTATAGATGTCCATCCTTTGTAGGACTGCACTGACCCAGCAAACCTATACCTCAGTTCAGTCTCACTGAACATGAAGAGGCCACTGAGATATGAATCATGGTACTTCAGCCACACCACTGTGGATGTGCTCTGTAATAGCAGCAGGCTTGAAGTGCCCTCTGTTAATCTGCGTTATCAGCTATAGCAGAGGCAGAGAAATGTCTTAAAAGAAGGAATGCCTGAGCAACATGACACTCGTATCCTAAACTGGACTGTCCCTACAAGGCCTTCACCATCATCCCCTGCTTGCCTCTAGGGCTTTGTTTCTCGCTGTTCATTACCAAAATTTAAATTTATTTGATGGAGTCGCCCTGTCAGAAATGTGCTTTTTAACAACCACATAATCTAAACTAACTTAAGTGAATCCTGTTGATGTGAACAGGATCAGTTTGCTACAAAACTGGATAAACATCTTATTTTCTGCTCTTTTAAAATACTGAACATTAGTTATAATGTGCTGCAAAAAACTCATCTGGCTAGCCTGCACAGACTGTGAGAACTGATGTCCAACGCTTTGGTGAAAAGAAATAAGCCATTTTTCTAATGAGAACTCCAAATGTGTCTGTCATTGCAAATCCCTTGAATCTCAAGCATGAAATGAGCGCTTACACCCATTGTTTGGATAAACATTAGTAATTACTTAGAGTCTAGTTTGGGTTGTACCTCTTATTCATTGCTGAATATACAGTTCTTAGATTTAGTAGCTCTTCTCAAGCCATTATTGTTGCTATTCCCATTATAATGGCAGAATAGCTGTGGGCAGTGAGGAATTCTTTTCTTTTTTTTACATTAGGAAAGCCATCATGCTTTAAATAGGGCTGCAGCAGGACTCTTTCCACAGTAAGTGACATCATCTCTCCAGTCCTGCGGTGGTACTTGGATTTAACACAGACCAGGGTGTGTCTCGAACACTTGTCCACTACAACACGGGTTTGCTAAGTCACCTCTCCATGTAGAGAGAGCACCTGGTTCTCCTGGCTCAGGCCCAGAGGTCAAATCCACCTTCAGGCTGATTTTAGGATAGATGAGGCTGCACAGTATAATTGAAGGTTCTTTGTGTCTATGTTTGTGTGCATCACAATTTAATTTGTAGCCGTCTAGTCCATTAGTTATATAAGTAGGTTATGTAAAGGGCATAGTTTAGTGTTTGATTCAGGGCTACCGTTTTAAAATGAGGAGATGCAGTGGAAAACTAAGCGTCTGTTGGCATGCTTCTACTGTATAATGACGTCACCATAAATAACTTTCCTTAATTACTGTGGGTGGTCCAACTGGGGCTAAATCTAATCTCAGTTTAATTCTGTGCAGCACCAATAAAACTCTTTTTTTGGCTTTTTTGAGTGATTGAGTGACAAACCAAGGCTAGTAATTGTCTGGCAATATAGGTTTGTTGTTTTCTGTACTCATAATTTATTAATCAGCCATGTAAGAAGGAAAATGTATGCTAGTCTACAGCACTTGGCTAGAGTTTTTGTGGGACTGGGATTTCGCCACGGATCTAAATAACTTGGCACCACATAGTTGATCTTATTCATCTAGTGCTCTCGGCGTAGATGTGGGTAAAAATGTATTGTGGTGTTGTGTAATCAAATGCAATGTTGTCATTTTGAACTATGTTTGTACATGAGGTTTGTTCAGGTTTCTTTACATACACTGTTAATCAAAATGACTTCTCAATCCTCCAAAAAAATATATGCGTATTAATTTCTATAGAAGCCTTTAGCAACGTTTATTTTTCAGTGTATTTTGATGGAGGGTCTGTAAAGGTCTCCCCCAGTTCTGGTTCTCTCCTCAGGCTGCATCACTAACATGTAATTTCATTTTCCCTGTTAAATGAATCGGTTAAAGCGCCTTTTCTTAGAGAGAGAGTGAGTGTGTGTGTGTGAGAGAGAGAGAGAGAGAGAGAGAGAGAGAGAGAGATATTTCGGATTATATTGTAATTGTCCTTTTCAGAACATGTTCACTCCTCCAGCATGGCCAATGTTCTCTAAGCAGGACCAGACTAAGACTAATCTCATTACTCTGTGTTGTTTATCTTTGTCTTTACAGACAGGACGCATTGACAAATCCTACCCCACAGTGTGTGGTCACACAGGCCCAGTGTTGGACATTGACTGGTGCCCCCACAATGATCAGGTCATTGCCAGCGGCTCTGAGGATTGCACAGTGATGGTAAGGCGTGCCTCACCATTTACACTATTTAAATGGGGTGCTGGACACACATTCTTGAGCTACCAAGTGACAAGAGATGGGGTTGGGCAGATATTAACATTTTGAAGCCGATTTGATATTAAAGCTAGGGTAGGAAATTTATTTCAGAAGCATTTTGGTCATATTTTTGAAATTTTCTTTATATCCTGACAGCGATCAATAAATCAAATGCTCAAACACACAAAAAAAATAACCTACCTGTGCACACTCATTGCACATGAAAATGTGTTTGGTGAATGGCTTTGGAGGTGCGGCCTGAAGAGGGTGGGATTTTTTCAGTTTGATACTTAAATTTTTCTTAAATTTTTCTCCAGTGTTTCCCGTGTTAAAGACTGGACCTGTATACTGGATTTTACCACTAGGTGTTGCACCGGACTGATCTGCTTTTGAGCAAAACGTGTCCACTGAAATGTGAGAGGGCTGTTAATTTCAAACAGATACAGGAAGTGTTGAGTTTTTATTAACAATGTAACGTAGTGATTTTAACTGGGCAAACAGGAGCGTACCAAATCAAGGCTTTATACTTACTTTTCAGTCTGCTACGTTACTGACTGTACTGACAAACTATTGCTGGCTAGCTACCTCGTAGCATCAGGGACAGGATTATATTAGAGTTGCATTGAAAAGGGGAAAATTATGGAGTCATTGTTTTAACTTTCGGGCAATGTATTTCACAAACTAGTTAGCAGCTTACCATGAAGACACCGCTTGACTCCGCCATATCGTCTGCTTAGCTGTGTTGCGAACATGTGCTGCAGACAGCGCTGACCCACATTTCCCATCATGCGGTGCTAAATGGTAAATGGTCTGTATTTCCGACCACTCAGAGCTCTTTACACTACATCACATTCACCCCATTCACACACTGAGCAGAGGCTAAGGTGACAACTGCCCACCAGAAACAGAAATACTCATTCATACACATTCACAAGAGTGTGTGAACAACTCGGAGAGCCGGGGATCAAACCTTCTGATAAGTGGACAACCGCTCTATCCCCCTGAACCACAGTTCCTGGACTGAGTAGTTTTTGTTTGCCGTTTTATCTTTCAAAAGCCAGTTGTTACTTTTCATTAATGTATGTAATGTGTCTGTTCAGAACATGGAGACTTTTGTTATGTTAGTTGTCATTTCTGTGCTGGTTTAGTTTAAAACATTAGTGAGTCCAGCTGTAAAATGTCAAGAAGAGACAAAAAGCAGCTCTCAGCAATTTCAACTCTCTAGAGTGTAGAACATTTCATTACAAATGCTGGTTCGGTCAGTTTGCAAAAAATCTTAACTGGTTTGAGCTGGTAGACTGGATCAGTAAAACCAGCTGATAGACCGGACTGGCAAAACCGGAGAGCGACCCAACTCAACAAGAGACCACATGCTTTTATTGCGACTCAGAGATCGGTGCTCACCCTCTGGATTAGATTAGGCTCAAATATGTGTTGAAGGAATCAGAGCTGGGGAATGATTTAGCTGTTTATTGAGCTGAGGTCACCAACTTTTTTGAGATTGTAGTTGTACTTTCCTCCATATGTCCTTATTTGGACCGTGAAAGGCTGGTGTTAGTGTGCTGCCTGTTTGCTGCTATCACTTCCTCACCTGAAATTCTGACTTCCTGTTAAGCCCTCTCTGAATCACTGCCATATTTATTTCAAGTTTGCAGAAGTGTAAGCCATGCTACGAAGAGAGGAAGCATCAGCGGCAATTGACCTTTTTGAAGGGAAGGTTCCCAACTTTAACAACCTCTTGGTGATGTTTAGATTAAGTGGGAATGGGCGGTATAACTATTCAGCAGAGATATGCACCATGTCAGAACGGGGCTACACCATTTACACCATAATTACACATTAGCTTCACTATAACTGTGTATCTTCTGTATGTAAAGACATGTTACCCATCCAATTTGCGAAAGAAGCCAAAAGGTATATACGACACAAGCAGTTTAATCGTGTTTTAATCATTTTAAACTGCTGTCTTGAGAAGGTGGAGAAAACACAACACACACACAGTGGCAGGAGTTTGGGGCAGTAAGCGCCTAACTTCACCATGAAGGAAATAAAATATAGGAATATAAATAGTTAGTTGACAAAACCAGTATTTTACTATTTATTGTGATAATAACAACCTTAGTGTATTTTGCTAAATTTGACTGTAGATCTCATCTGTCACAAAGTCATATGCTGTTGTTGGCAGCTGAACTCTTAGCCACTGCTGCCCCCCTCTGGTTCTTTTTGGTAACTACTACATATTGGTGCGCAGTTGTCGGGGGCTGGACCCAATCCCAGCTGACATCGGGCGAAAGGCGGGGTACACCCTGGACAGGTCGCCAGTCCATTGCAGGGCCTGGAGAATTTATGATTTTGTTACATACAGCGGTAAAAATGAGTCCCCCCTACAGGCTTTGCTGCCTGTTTAATTTCTGACCTCTGTCCTTGTTCATGTCCTCCTCAGGTGTGGCAGATTCCTGAGAATGGACTTGTCACTCCCATGTCTGAGCCAGTAGTGGTACTGGAAGGCCACTCCAAGCGCGTTGGCATCATCACGTGGCACCCAACGGCACGCAATGTCCTTCTTAGTGCAGGTAAGAGAGTCTCTCCCCCCCCCTGTTTTTCATTGACTAGTAATCCATTGTAGGTCAAGCAGTTTGAAATGGCAGCGCCTCTAGTGTTCAGACTGAGATGGGAAATCTACATACAGTGCTCAAGCCATATTCTTTGATATTTAAAATCGGTAATGGGGTGCAGGCCAGCTGTCCTCTAAGTTAACCTTCAAAACTTGCTGAATTTTAACACAGATCTTCAAGCTATGAAGTACCAGCTTGGTGCCTCGAAGACAAAATATTGTGTGTCTTGCGTGTGCTGCTCACCTTTCACTTCTCTCTGTCATCAGGTGGTGACAACCAGATCATCATCTGGAATGTGGGCACAGGAGAGGCTATGATCAACCTGGAGGAAATGCACCCAGATGTCATCTACAACGTGTGCTGGAACCGAAATGGTAGCCTTATCTGCACCTCCTGCAAGGACAAGTCCATCCGTGTCATTGACCCCCGCAAGGAGACGATTATTGCTGTAAGCAAAGTCTTCCTTGTTGTGATATTTTCTCTTTCGTATTGCAGTATGTGAGATGTAGATATTAATCTGGGTGTAATGCAAGTAGGGAGACTGCTTCAGCAACATTGTTCCCTTAAAATTGTCCTCGAGTTTGACTCTGGATTATAACTTGATTTGGGTTCATTTAAGTTTAGTCTGAATAATGTGCTCAGTATTGCCACTGTGACTGACAGATATCAAAACAAGATCAGTCATATATAAAGACATCAACAAAGAAATACAATCTGGTAAAAATTGATCAGGAGTGTAGGATTAGCAATAAGAAATTAAGTTAAAGTTAAAGTGGACATAAACCGTTGAGAAAATAGTGAATACTGACTTGGGTACAAGTGCTGACCTGTAAACTATACTTCACAGGAGAAGGAGAAGGCACATGAGGGTGCTCGACCCATGAGGGCCATTTTCCTTTCTGATGGCAACATCCTCACCACAGGCTTCAGTCGCATGAGTGAGCGACAGCTGGCCCTCTGGAACGCGGTAAGCTGCTTCATGTGTGCTGTCTGCACTACATCAGTTCAATGATTACGGGTTCTACATTTCACACTGTTACAATATTAAATTAAATGAGATTGTTCAGAGAGCAAGCTTTTCAATGAAGTTTGTACTAATGAAACAGAACACACAAAAATGAACACCATATTCACAACTGTGTTACTATGGAAACTCCAACTAGCTATTAAAAGTGCAACATCTTTGCTACATATGTTTTTTTAGAGGCCATTACCTTTTCCTAGGCCCCGTATTTCTGTATTCGTGCCCTCTCCAACAGAACTCTGATTTATCATTATGCTTTTCTTTTTTCAGCAAAACATGGAGGAGCCCATGACTGTTAATGAGATGGACACCAGCAACGGAGTGCTCTTGCCCTTCTATGACCCAGACACCAATGTTGTTTACCTCTGTGGAAAGGTAATGTCCCTTTTAAGCACTCAGTAGTAAAATCAAGCATTGTTATAACGGCACAAAGTTGGAGGTCTAAATTTGAGCACTTCCTTTCTTGACAGGGTGACAGCAGCATCCGTTACTTTGAAATCACAGATGAGGCTCCGTATGTTCACTTCCTCAGCACCTTTGCCACCAAGGAGCCACAGAGGGGCATGGGCTACATGCCCAAGAGGGGCCTTGATGTCAATAAGTGCGAAATCGCAAGGTAAGCCAAGATCGATGGCTAATCAACATCTCTGACGCCAGAATTCATTTTCAGTTCTTATTTCACTCATCCAGATCTAATGTGGATTTCCTAGCTTCACCACTAGGAGGCAGAATATAATCATGACATAATCGCTAATGTCTCAGGACAGCCCCACTGTAAACTTTTCTAAAACACTCTCTGTTGCCTTTGTTGTTTAATAATGCATTGAATTGTGGGTAATTGGTTTGAATTTGTATATTGCCAGGTTCTTTAAACTGCATGAAAGGAAGTGTGAGCCTATCGTGATGACTGTACCTAGAAAGGTAAGTCCTCATCAAGTGCAGAGACTTACTAGACCTCTAATCTGTTCGTTGAATCCCAGGCGGCCGAGTCGAGCCTCGTTTTGTAATGTGCTGGTGTGGAGCTTTCCTCACAGCTTGTCACTCTGTCCTCCCTCTTCAGTCCGACCTGTTCCAGGATGACTTGTACCCAGACACATCTGGACCCGACCCTACCCTGGAGGCTGAGGAGTGGTTTGAGGGCAAGAATGGAGACCCCATCCTCATCTCCCTCAAGAACGGCTACGTCCCGGGCAAGAACCGCGAATTCAAGGTGGTCAAAAAGAACATTTTTGACAACAAGGGCCCCAAGAAGTCCGAGCACTCAAGCCATGCCAACAAGTCTGCCTCCCCTACTCCATCGATTGTGAGTATGCCTTTTCTGATAAATGTAGACCAGGATTACATTAAACAGTCAATCTTCCACTAAGTAGAGCTGGGCAGTATGGAACAACAGATTTTCTGTTTATGGATCATGCTATCCGTTAAGAAAATTGATGAGGAAAGTCTCTGTGGACTACATAAGGGCTGCAACTAAAAAAAGATTTCATGATTATTGTAATCTGCAGACTAATTCAAATGATCATTTTGTCTATAAAATGTCAGAAAATAATGAAAATACCCATTACAGTTTCCCCAGAGCCAGAGGCGACATCTTGATAGTTTTGTCTGACCAACAGTCCGAAACCCAACGATATTCAAAAGCAGCAACCTTTTCAGCTATGTTTTCAGGTACATGGTTGTGTTTCTTCAGATAAAGTGTCTAAGAATAAGTTTGGCCTACCACAATTCCTCACATAATTAGGATGATGGACAATAAACAGTTAATGCTAATATATATCCCAGCCATTAAACTATCTTCATCAGACATCAAAGTCTGTGCTCCTGACTCCCATCTCCATCGACTCATTAATGCCACTCACTACTGGCTTCATCCCTCTTGGGGCTCCCAGTGTTAAGCAGACAAATTGTATGTGTTGAAGCAGGGCACATTGCTGTCTGTCTTCATGAGGTGGTTTGTAGATTTTGTTCAACCCAAAAACTGAGGGGTCTGCTGCTGCTCTGGGCGCCTGCTGCTGGGCGTCCTGCCGCACCTCACCCACAACACAGCCACCCGCCTGGGACCCAGCCCATGTGTGTCTCTGCACTTCTGCTCTGTAATCACAGCCCACTGGGCTCCAGGGCTGGCGAAACATGTTAACCCCCAGAGTACCAGACCCTGTCTCCTGGCATATACAGTCCAAGACTGTAGGGTAGCAGCTTTGAGACAGGAAGTGTCTTGTGCACTGTTGTGACATAACTTAGTTTTGACATTGCTTCAAATGTGACTAGTTGTGTGTTTCACAGCAGCGTGGTTGAAGCAGTATAGTGATGGGTGTAAACTCACTCTCACTCTTCTCTTGTGTCTGCCACAGAAATCCGAAGCCAAGCTGGAGGAGATCTTGAAAGAAATCAAATCCCTCAAGGACCTGATCAGCAGTCAGGAGAAGCGAATCATCAAACTTGAAGAGCAAATGTCCAAAATTGCCATTTAGGGACCCTTTACCCGACCCGCTACAATTCAGGACGTTCCATTGGCTGGGGGTTGGGCGCGACCCGTCACTGCCTATTTCAGTGACGGTGTTTCGTCTGAGGCCTGCCTAGCAACGACCCCTAGCAACATTCCAGATGAACTTTTTCTTAGCCAGCCCCTGACCCTCACTTTAACACAGGTGGAATAAGGACGTGTGGCAAATTTAGCAGAAAATACTCTAACTGCTTTTTGGTGACAAAGGACTCTATTCCTTTTATTGTGTGGCAGTCATTTTTTATTTTGTCTACGTGCATCAAAAAAATGTCTTACATATTCCTTTGCATTTTAGAAGATGACCAAGAAAATCTGCATCAAAAGTCTCCATTTATATTGCATAACCAAATTTTTTTTTTAAAGTAGCTATCATTGTTTCATGTTATCACACCCCAAAATTATAATGTTGCCAAATTTGAAATTTTGTTTACTCCTCCTTAACAGTATTTCTTTCTCTCTTTCTTTGTGGGAAGATTCAAAATGCAAACGGGGAAACTCAGTAGACTGGTTATGTAAAGACGAATTTACCATGAAGTTAAAGTCATTTAAATAAATTGGATAGTTATGTGAGGAAGATTGACATCTCAAACTCTGTAATTAGGAGGAAATAAATTCAGATTGAAGACACATAAGCTGCCACAGTCTACACCAAGCACACAGGCATTACATAAATGACAAGTCTTGTTGTTTGTGTTGAAGCTGCCTGCTTTCTGCCATTTCTTCTCATTCCTGCTGCTTCCTGTCACTCTGGCCAGGACAATAGTCCGTGTAAACATGCATTCCTTTCTATCTTGCTTCGTTAACATGCACTGCATGCTTATTGGAGAAAATGACAAACTCATTCCACAAATCTCATTGCCAGTTATTGATGTGGGGAAAAATAATTCTATAATGTTCCTCTTTCTGTAAACACTCTACTGTAGTGACTCAGTTACGCTGGTTGGTTGTTATTGTGACATTTATGCGCTGCCCATGAAAAGACCAAGTTTGTGGATTTTCAACCTCAACTCTGCATCGTTTTTTGTTTTTTTATGAGAGGTTCAGTCACCAACGTCACTGTTGGGTATCCACGGGTTTTGCTCAACAACACTCAAGTGTAGTGGGATTATTTTTTGTCCCTGTTCCTTTGCGTTGTATGCCATCTCACATCTGTATTTTCTCTACAAACAAAATGGGAATAGATATGAAAAGACACCAAGTAATCACACTTCGACTTGACTCTTTAAAAACCATCTGGTGATAAAACTGGAGATTGCTATAGAAACTGTTCATGGTAGACCTTAAAGGCCTAGATTGTGTGTGTGAATATGTGCCTCATGTCTTTGGTCTTTTGGGTACATGTCACTATGGATGTTCCTGCTTTGTTTCTTATTGGGGGTGGAGGGTTATGAAATGGACTCAACGTAGAATGTCCATGACTTGCCTCTAACTAAATAGTTGGGTTATTACTTCACTCTTAATTTTAGCCTGTTTCTTGTTCCAGCTGTGCTTATATCCCTCTTAGCACTTCCATGTCTTGGTTTTTTTAATGGTTATTTCCCAGATGCCCCGATTCAGTATAGTTATTACAAAATCAAGGAACCATTGAGTTGTCCAATCTGAGTCGTTTTGCTCAGACAGCTATCATAAAAGCTCTTCCTGATGTTTTAGATTAGTTTCCCAGTGGGAAGCTAAGACGGGTAATGGTTCAATCTGTTTGCCTTTTTAAATATGTGTTACCACTGTAAAGACCTGAAAGTGCCATAGCGGTGACCATGGAAGTGTTTGTAGGGGACTATTGCGAGTAGATGTGTGTAGTAAATAGAAGAGTTGATAGGTGCCCGGATTTACAACCACTTTAAGGTGCTATACACTACGTTCAAAGGACCCTGTTCCTGCATGTCAGCCCCCTTGATGACATCATGACGTCCTGCCAATCCATCCCACAACTACACCAGGCAGCATTACTGCTTGGGGGTTTGTTAGAAGTACATTTTGACACTTTCCACCTCGGTACGGGTATTCAAAACATCTTCAAAAATGATGTCAAACTGAGCAGCTGTCGGCTGAACACGCAGCCTTTTGAGTCATTGTGGCTTCAGGATGCATTTTGAGCAGTGAGTCGTAGAATATCAGTGAAAATCTACAGAGTGCTACAGAAGAAATTATACTGCCCTATCTTGTATATCAGACTGCCACTCTATGGATTCTTTACAGCACTGTTGGCACGAGAGCGAAGTTGTGAGGAGTAGTAGTGAATAGCGATCCAAAGGGACACTGTAGGTTGGAGAAATGTGCAGTTGAAAGATAGATGTATGTTTGTAATTAAGGTCTAGGAAAATGAGTGAAAGCTGTGTAAATAACATGACCATATTTTTTTTTTTTTATGTCATTTTTTGTTTTGTGGTTGTGCTGAAGAGGGTATTTGTACGGGAGGTGGGTTTTAAATGTTTCCCGTTGTCTGTGGTCCCTGCACCTTGCCATAATGCATCATGAGAAAAGCAGAACCTCTGTTATGTTCAAGGTCGTATGAATATCAAGAAAGAAAATCGGATGGAAAAACGAACCAGGATAAAACCTCATGTGGAGGTCTGCTCAGCATTTTTGTTCATTATTCTTGCTTCAAGTATCAAACATTGATTAAAAAATTAATAAAGAATTTTTAAAATGGGCTCAGTGTACAGTTTTGAACTGGCAGGTGTACTGATTTGTTGATGTATCATGTTTTTAGTCATTACTGTCTTTGGATATGTTCCCTTTACTAGTTTTTAACAGAAAGATTTGAAGTTAAAATTTACAGTTTGAGTGCAACAAATCTGAATCTGCACTATAGTTTAATTAGCTGAAACCAAGTGGAAGACATTACAGGAGAAAACCAAAATTCAATGTCTTTAAAAAGGATAAACCTAGCCTCTGTATATTTTTCTTGTCAACAAACTCCATGAAAAGACCAAAACCAACTATTGTGTTAGCACGCTCTTGATATTTTCAGCTTCCTTTTCTTGGCCTGTCTAAGCTTTTCTGAAGATACATCTTTAAAAATGGGTCACAAATGAGTTTAATTTTCACAGGATAAAATAGTGTATTTGTTTACAACCATTTTAAGTTACAGATTAATTTAGTGTTGTAGTGAGTATTTACAGCAGCAGTACATCGTAAAAGAGGAGCATGTCAGTGTGGCTCAGTTATGTGTAATAACAAAATATATATTATATTTTAGGACAACTATGAGGGTCATAGAGAAATCAGGCCACACTGAAAATACTACTCTGTGTGTGTGTGTGTGTGTGTGTGTGTGTGTATGAGAGAGAGAGAGATGCTGTGTGGGACAACCTTCCGAATCATTGAATTCAGTTTCAATCACTTCCATGGCCACAGGTATATAAAATCAAGCACCTAGGCATGCAGACTGCTTCTACAAACATTTGTGAAAGTATGGGTTGCTCTCAAGATACTATGATAGGTTGCCACCGGTGCAGTCCAATCGTGAAATTTACTCACTGTTAAATATTCCACAGTCAACTGTTTGTGGTATTGTAACAAAGTGGAAGCGATTGGGAATAACAGAAACTCAGGCATGAAGTGCTAGGCCACATAAAATCACAGAGCGGGGTCAGTGCATGCTGAGGTGCACAGTGAGCAGAAGTCGCCAACTTTCTGCAGTCAGTAGTTACAGACCTCTAAACGTTGTGTGGATTAGCTCAGGAACAGTGTGTAACCCATGTAATGGGTTTCCATGGCCGAGCAGCTGCGTTCAGGCCTTACATCAAGTGCAATGCAAAGCGTCAGATGCACACGGTTACTGGACACTAGAGTAGTGGAGATGTGTTCTCTGGAGTGACGAATCACGCTTCTCTGTCTGGCAATCCGATGGACGAGTCTGGGTTTGGCTGTTGCCAGGACTGCCAGTACTTGCCTGACTGCATTGTGCCAAGTGTAAAGTTTGGTGGAGGGGGGATTATGGTGTGGGGTTGTTTTACAGGGGTTGGGCTTGACCCCTTAGTTCCAATGAAAGGAACTGTTAATATAGTAGTATAGTTAGTATACCAAGACATCATCCATCATCAACCGCTTATCCTGCGTACAGGGTCGTGGGGTGGCTGGAGCCAATCCCAGCTGACGTCGGGCGCAAGGCGGGGTACACCCTGGACAGGTCACCAATTAACCGAGACTGCATGTCTTTGGATGGTGGGAGGAAGCCAGAGCACCACGCAGACACGGGGAGAACATGCAAACTCCACACAGAAAGGCCGGGGCAACCGGGGTTTGAACCCACGACCTTGCTGTGAGGCTACAGTGCTGTTGGACAATTTCATGCTCCCAACTTTGTGGAAACAGTTTGGAGATGGCCCCTTCCTGTTCCAACATGACTGCGCACCAGTGCCCAAAGCAAGGTCTATAAAGACCTGGATGAGCGAGTTTGGTGTGGAGAACTTGACCGGCCTGCACAGAGTCCTGACGCCAATTCGATATAACACCTTTGGGATGAATTAGAGCGGAGACTGGGAACCAGACCACCTCGTCCAACATCTGTGCCTGACCTCACGAATGCCTTTTAGAAGAATGGTCAAAAATTCACATGAACACACTCCTAAACCTTGTGGAAAGCCTTCCCGGAAGAGTTGAAGCTGTTATATCTGCAAAGAGTGGGCCAACTCCATATTAAACCCTACAGATTAAGAATGGGATGTCTTAACCTTCATGTGCATGTAAAGGCAGGCGACCCAAAACTTTTTGGCAATATAGTGTATATAATTTTAAAGGTTACATTACAATTCTGAAAACTAAAGTGTTTTCTTTGTTTAAAATATTGCTATCCTCTTGTATTAACCGACGCTCAATGTTTACAGCATCTACAGGCAGATCATCAAAAATCAAGGTATGAATGGATACATTTCTCTACTTGCTGCAGTGAAACAACCGATAGGTATAAAATAGATTACTAGAAACAGATAGTGAATGCAGTGTACAGTGGCCTTAATTTAAGCTAAAGTTGAAGGAAATCACATGAATTGTTTTCTGTAGTTTGCAGTGCGCACACACTATCTGATATAAATGAGAGCAAATATTTACTATGAACATGATCATTTTTGCCTGTTTCATTTAGTTGTAGACTGCCAATGTGTTTAAGCCACCACAAATAACCAAACACTATTTTAGTACTAGATTTGAAGTTTCTTTTACAGGATCAATTAGAAACAACTGTTGTCATTCAAAAAGCTATTTGATGTGCTGTAATGACAATAATGACTGTGTGGCACATAGTAGAAGTAGTACACACATTAACTGCAACAGTATGAATAATCCCTCTCCAGTTTTCTTTTGTGCGTCCTGAACCTGGAAAATTGCTACCTTCTTCACACTTCAGCTCCCAGCTAGAATATCAACATCTCACACCAGCTGTCAAAATAAATGAATGAAATAAGAAAGGAGGCACGAGCAGCCTTAAATAGATGCACCGCATATTTAGAGACTTATCTAGAGATAAGTGCCCCTTAAAGACCATGAAGTTTATATGTTCGCTCTGAACATGTGTTTTGGGATGAAAGGGGTGCTTTCTCTCTGCGCTGGTCTTGTATGCCCTGTACAGACAGGCTGTAATCAACAAGGACTTAATTAGAGAGGACTCAGTGGGAGGCAGAGGAGTCTTGGGACTCGCCCCACCAAGTACAGAAATACCCATTTCCCTATAACATGGGACTGATGTATTTACTGCAACGTCTTTGCAGGGAGTTTTAAAGCAGAAAGCTCAGACTGTCTTGTGCTCGCCAGGTCAATGAGTCCAACTTTGAATGAATCAACACACATTGTGGTAAATAACACTTTCATACAAAGTGAAGTGACCCTCTCTAGAAACAGTTTAGCATTGCCCTTATGTCTGAGAAAATATGTATAGAATCACTGCTACATGGCTCTTCCTCTATAATAACTTCCCACTATAAAAAAAGTGCACAGTAAAAGAAGTCCAATCCCAAATGGACAAAAGTGCACGAGGATGAAGACTGGGAGGGTGAAATAGAGGGAGGAGAAGCTGAAAAGAGAGGGATGGACATCATTTTGCAGTGTGTAGACTTTTTAGAGCTCTGTAAAAAAAAACTGTCACTATAACGTAGCAGGGAGGGCGAATGCTCGGAAACTGTCTTTCACGTTTACTTTCCTCTCGTCGCTTTGTCTCCACATTATTTCCCTCTCCTCCGTCTGCACTGCATTGTGCTCATCAGAAGATAAACCCAGGAAACAACACTCTGTAAGTATGTACATTTGTTGTAAATTAAAAGTGGGTGTTATCAAGAAAGAAAAAAGTATAGCCAAAAGATTTAAGTTATATCAGGGCAGCCTGTGTATCCAAACTGACCTGTTCATCCATTGATTGTTATTTGAAGTTTTCTAAATTTTGGCTCCTAACATGTAGTGATGGAATGTAACTAAATACATTTACTCAAGCGCTGCACTTATGTGCAATTTACAGATACTTGTACTTCACTTGTATATTTAAATTTTATGCTACTTTAAACTTCTACTTTGACATATTACATTTCAGAAAGAAATATTCTACTGTATACTCCATTATATGGTTAAATAGCTACAGCTATTTTACAGATTAAGATTTTATGCACAAAACATATGATCAGATCAAAATGTTGTGCAGATTAAACTACTCTCACAGGGGGCATTTTTCTGCATAATGATACTTTATTTTTGATACTTTCATTACATTTTGCTAAGAATACTTTTGTAGTTTGACTTAATATTTACAATGCAGGATTTTCACTTTATTTTTACATTGTTGTATAGCTACTTTTACTTAAGTAAAAGATTTGAATGCGTCTTTCACCCCTGCCAATATTAATTTTTTCCCTTAGTCCTATTTAATTGATCAATGATGAAATTGATTTAATTTAATTGTCTTTCTTCAACTCTCCATGCCATGACCCGTAGGTTAACTGTTACAGAGTGTAGACATTGATAATGTTTATTTAAGAATATGCACTGAGATGGTCTAACCTCCACCAGTGGCGCCATCTTTGCAAATTTGTGCTGTCTGGGCAAGCATTGTTAAAACTTGCTACCCTTTATTTTAATCTTATGGTGGAGATGCCAACTTAGATGCCAACCCTAAATGATGGCCAAGACATCTAGGACATTTGTATTTGATGTAAAGATGCAGCCATAAAAACATGGAGTTTGAATATTTCACACAGTGTGTACACTTTACTGAACAAGCACATATCTGTCATACAGTGTGGTGAAAGTGTTTTGCCTGTATAATTGATAATATAATTTAAAGCAACTGAAGGAGAAATTCAGAGGAAAATCAAGAATTAGAGACATCAATTATTCAAATGTTATGAAATTGATTAATTGCTTATCTAGTGTCTGATGGCTTTCAGTTGAAGTTAATGTGGACCCTACATGTGGAAATACAGGAAATCTAATTGTGGCAGTAATATGAGGGTTCAGAGGGAAGTGAAATCCTATAGCTGCACATCCAAGGATGAAGACCCAGCCTACCATCTGGTCCAGCAGTTCATACTGTGTGTTCAACCACAAAGGGAGGGGGGTCTCACACTGTGCAGTGTAAATCAGAGCAGCAGCAGGTTCGCTACAGTATCATGCTGATTAGAAGTTTGTCTTTATGTCTTAGCACTGTGTAATTACACTGTGCTAAGAGTTAACAAGGTTTTAAATGGTAACAGACTCCTGCGCCACTCATAACAGATTTCTTTATTAACGCTTTAACTTGCATTGAGAAAGATAGAGAAAGAATAATGGAAGAAAAGTAATTGGGTTGGGAAGTTTATTCAGTCAGTTGTACTGTCAGTAAGTGCAGGTTTTCCTGGAAGCATAAATATCTCAGGTCTGCGCTGCTGTGGGCTGGTGTACAGCAGCTGCTGCCCAGTGTAAATATAGAGGCCACAGCCGCAGGTCTCCCACGCCTCTGTGCTCACTCTGGAATATGGCTTCCTCTTGGCTTTGGTGTGGTGGATGGGTGGCCTCCCTCTACTTTGGAAATTATAAGGCCTTCAGCGCCAAACTCGCTGTCTCCACCCCAAATAAGTAATGGCTGCTCTGCTGCCTGCTAAAATAGATCTTGTGCAAGATGGGGAATGGCAGAGAACCTAAGAAAAGAGTTAAGATGGATACTGGAGTTGTATTTCAGACAGAAACAGCCATTTAAAACATTGTTTTATTTTTTCAGAATGTGTCTGTCGCTTGAAAAACTGCTCAACACTAGTTAGTATCGTGGTTCTCGACCCTCCGGTTGGGACCAATTAGTGTCACAAGGAGACATTTCTCTAATTTTTCACATACAGCATGTGACACACTTTAAATAAATAGCTTGCCATTGTGGGAAAATCACTTCTTTGTTTATTGATCGACCCCACTCTCATGTCTGTATAATAAATATTTAGCCAAATCCAGGAGGGGAGTGGCCTAGCTTATTATAAAGACTGGAAACAGGGGGAACAGTTAGCCTGGCTCTGTCCAAAGTTAAATTATACACCTACCAGCACCTCTGAAGCTGGAGTATTGTTGTCAGGCAACCCACAGACGTATTATTATTATTAACTCTCCATAAAACTTTGTTGTTTGTGAGTGAATTAAACAAACTGAATATGACGTGTCAATTAGTGAGTTTTAGAGGTGCTGGTAGATGGATTTTGTTAAATTTAGACAAAGCCATTGTAGCTGTTTCCCTGTGTTTCCAGTCTTTTGCTACGCTAAGCGAACCTCACCCACCTCCTGGTTCTAGCTTCATCAGATCTGAGAATGGTATCAATCTTCTTGTCTCTCGGTTGGAAAGTGAATAAGTGTATTTCCCGAAATGTCAAACCATTGCTTTAATCCCATGATCCTAAATTCAAGATAGCCATTGTTGTTGTTGCAGGACTCAGAAGAGAGGATGAAGTCCTGTTGGGTTTTTCTTGTCACCTGTGTGGCCCTGCTCTCACTGTGGTGTGGTGTGTGTCACGCCACGCCTCTGTTCTACAACGTATCCATGGACGGCAGTGGTGATGAAGCGGAGCTGGAACTCCTTTTTCCAACCTCTTTCTCCACTCGAGCGCCTGTTCTCATCACTGCTTCTACTGGAGCTCCCACCCTCACCAACACCATCACCACCACCATGATCCGTCTGAAGGACTTCGTCTTGACCCGAGTAGTGGACTTCCTGCAGGAGAATCTGCTCATCATCATTGTTGTGACCTCTCTTCTCATTGTCATGGTCTTCATCATCTGCTGTGCCTCTGCAATGAGTCAGAAGCGCAAGCTGGAGGCCTACAAACCCCTTCCTAATTCACCCAGGAAGAATGCGGCTGATAAAACCGGCGGACGCAAGAATTCAAGCGAGCTCCAGGACAGGCCGTTTGTCGCTGTCGACCACGTCAAGAGGGTCCAGACTCAGAGCATGGCATCCCCCAAGAACCTGCGCACGCCCTCCAAGGCTCTGGTGGGAGAGAAGGGGAGGGACGTCAGGTCGTCGCCTCGCCAAGAGGTCAGGAAGGTCAGGGAGGCAGAGGAGGTAGAAAAGCGGAGAGAGGAGCCCAAGCACAAAGAGCAGCAGCCCAAGCACAGGGAGGAGGTGCAGCCGAGCTCCAATCAGCCAGCCTGCACCTGCCATCTGAAAAAAGCCCACCACTAGGGCATGTTCAGGGCTGATTGAATGGTATAATAGATGAAATGTTGCAACCATGACATAAAAACGAGATCAGAAAGGTTGGTTCAAATCAGAAATACCACTTTACAACTGCTATCAAGAAATATATTTGTGAGGCTGGTGCCCTTCCATGAAAAAACATCCATCTTTAAATACTTTAATCTAAGTGAAATGAAAATATGAACTATCTGATGTATTATCTGAAGTAAAAAGCCAGCAGGATAGAAGATATGTGACTAGAAATTAAAATACTCAAGTGGGTTGCTGCATAAATCGTATGAATAAATGTTGCACCTCAAAGAGTTTGATTCATACAGATATTAAAAAGTCAACACTTGATACCAGGTGATGTGGGAAATAAATGGCTGATTTCTTTGAAAGCAGCTGCCTTTGAAATTCAAACTGGCTCAGTGGTTTGTCTGTCATCATGTACTGCAAAGACCTTAGTCCTACAGTGGTCAACCACTGTTTAATCAGTGATTACCACAGAGTCTCAACTGCCTGATCTCACATCACTGCTGTTGAAGTAGCATCACTTGAAAGGTGACATTTTTAGTTTTTTTTAGAGGAGAAAGACAAGAAAACATTATTTTAAAGAGAAAAACAATGGGCAGCCTGTAATCGCTTCCGAATAGAAATGAAACAAAAAAAGTATCCGTGTGTTTTTAATCAAGAGATTTATTACTCCATATGCCTGCCAAGACAGAGGAATCTCCTCGGTACGTCCTGCTGTACGCCATGACATCTTTTCAAGCAGCTAAGAGACTTGGCTGAACCGCTCTGTCGTGTAGAGAAAACTCTTTGCTGCTGTAAATAATGCAAAGGGAGATGCCAGTATACTTGAGAGGTAACAAAAGGTTCTATAAGTATATTTACATTCATATTTACCTAATTGTGTTTGCATAATGTTATTTTATGTCATCTCATTTTGTATTTTACTTAAGAGAACCCAAATTCACAAAGCTTTACACCAAAAGTACAATTTGCAACTGTGTTATTTCTGGGAAGCTGAAGTAAAAACACACGTCAAACATTAAAAGCAGGCTTTTTGTTGGTATAAAAACTTTGTGAATGAGGGTTTGAGTTTTTTTAATAAGTAATACTCATGTATAAGATAAATGGTGAGTTTTGTTTTTAATGTTGTAATTTGTCCAAAAAAAAAGTCCAAAACTTGAGTACAGGGATAGAGAGGAGAGTTGGCCTGTTTTGCTGGTGTAATAGGTTTAACTTTACTGTAGCTAAAATTAAAAGTACTTAAAAATCAAAAGCTGAGAAGTGTATATGTCAAATACATCTGGTTCATCTTTAATTGGATTAAAAACTCAGGTTCCACTGGAGTTGATCATTTGTAAAAACTCTCCAGCTCACTGTCCCATTACTCAAGTGAATGACTCTAAGAGCGTCTAAACCAAATGTGTAATGTTCAGTTTATACAATTTATGGGCCCGATGTTTTTTTAAATACTCTTTTCCAATACAACCTTGTTCTCCTCAGATGTTTCCAGAGAGATGCTTGCTCTGTAAGTGACCGTTATATTGTTTACAAAATGAGTTTTGCTGATATTTAATAAAATTCTTGATGCTGATGTTTGTCATTATTGAGAAAGTTACAGTGGAAACAGTTTTCATGATGACAGATGAAGGCAGCCCTGAGGAACCCTAAGATTAGAAAAGGCGAGGAAGGCCTAAAAAAGAAGATGCTCGCTACGTGCACATTATGTTCAACTCTGGAATCTGTAATTTTGAATTGCGTCTGCTCAAGATTGGCCTTCGTGAGGCAGCGGGCACCAACACACACAAACACAGGACTGCAGAAGGTATTAGAGCCTGGAGATGACGAGACCCTGCTTTGTCCTACACTGGCTATTGTACAAGGTTGTTTAAATATTTCAACAGCAGTAAACCAGATCCATACAGAGCTCTTTGCTCCACAACAAGAGCTCCTGCATTGTCTATACAAATAGTGGAGACACTGATTTGTTGTGGTGAAGTTCAAACTCAAAGTCAAATAACCTTTTCGTTGCATATTTTGAACGAGCAACAAGATACTGCCCTCGTGTGAACAGCGCAAGTATTGATTCATCAGTTCTTTTTACATTGTATCTAAAACACTTCCATCTTTTATGTACAGCCTGACCACATCTGAAATCTATTGTCAAACCCCATTACAGCTGTATTCAAAATGTGATGAAAAATTGCTAAAATGTCTGAAGCACAAACCATTTTTGAATAATAATTAAAAGATTGTTTGATCTGAATCATAAGTGCCAAAGATCAAACCTCAAAGATGACAGCACAGCAGCTCAAAAACAGGCGTAACCCTGTGGCGGCTGAAACGTGAGCCCAGACGGAGCCTCGCACCAGGGTCAGATTCCCTGCTCTTTTGTCAATGAGGTGCTAAATAATTTGAGAAAATACTATCCCTTCACTTTCAGTCTTCCCACCAGGTGACGGGAAGACACATGGCCACAGGACCACCCAGCAATGTTCTCAGGCCGAGGGCGGTTTGCTAGATTCACTTGTCTGTGTGAGTTGTAACCTCGACCTTTGCCAACCGCAGATAAGGGAATATTTAGGGCAACTGTGTGGTTTTGTTTTTTATATATTTTTTTCACAGAATTTCTTGGTGAACATTTTGCTGTGTATTTTGACCCTTTTCACTGTTTGCCACTGACAAAAAAAATAGGACCTCTCAATCTATTTGAATGGTGAAGAAGATCCAGAGTAGGTAATCCAGCACCTTAAGGCTGTCATTAAACTTTGATGAGCATCTGCATGGAATTCTCAACAGCAGCAACGGTAGTTATCTTTAGGTCACGTAAGGACCATGGGGTTACAAGCCTGCCCATCTCAGAGGAGGAGCATATAATACAGGAATAGGAAAATGGTAAGTGCTTAGGCCTTTATTTATTTACACTAATAAGTCACCCTTTCTAAGGAGTTAATAACTTAATGTTTTTATAAATGGTTAATACACAGTTTAGTGGTGAGAACCACTTTTGGGTTGTGAAAAATCTTTCTAGCTGGTGAATTACTAAAAGGCAAGTCATTAATAACTTAAATAAATAAATGATTTTAAAATATTTTCAAATGAAAAGTTTCTCACTTTCTAATCTGCATTAAACTCTAAATTCAGCCAACAGCAAAAGGTGGCGATTCATCCGCAATTCTAAATATTCATAAACCATTAATAGATGGTTCTTATTATAACCCATGAAGTCTGCAGTTTTAAATGTTGATAAAATGAGAGCTGCATGGATTTTGGTCCAGCAGCTGTCTTTAAGAAGGTCTGAGGTCTGCCAGTGTGGACGAATTCAAGTGGTAAAAAGACAAAGCAGGTGTCAAGAGGATGAACACCAGCCAGAGGTTTTTCACAGCTTCTTATTAATGTCTCATATCTGATCCATAAAGTATTATTTATTAACCATTAATTACAACTTATAAATATTGGTGATGACACAATGGCTAAGACACGTGTCTTTGGTGTGAGAGACCCGGGTTCAATTCCCACTTTGACCCATCCACCATTGTGTCCCTGAGCAAGACACTTCCCCCCCTAGCTGCTCCAGAGACGTGCGACCTCTGACATAAATAGCAATTGTAAGTCGCTTTGGATAAAAGCGTCGGCTAAATGAATAAATGTTAATGTAATGTAATGTAAAAAAGATTCATTACTATAAAGTGGTACCTTTTAAGTGAGAATGTTTCCTGATACCATTAGTTCTGTTATGTATCTGATGTGGTCGTCTCTCCTTCATTATCCCTCACAGTGAGTCATGCCTTGGTGCAGATGTGGTGTCCTACTGGTGCTCTGCGTCTGTCCTCTAGCCTGCCTTGTAACGTCTCCCTGTCCTCCCGGCTGCTGCTGTTCTCGCCCAGGATTTTTGGTTTTGTGCGAGTCCCTGGGTCTCAGGTCACTCCCTCGCTCTGTCCCTTTCAGCACCTCGGCTCTATCTGTGGCCAGGAACCAGCTCTGTAATGTGGACCACCTGCTCCGGCCCTTCTCCAGCCTGCAGGAGCTGAGCCTCAGTCACAATCTGCTGAGCCGCTTCCCTCGCGGCCTGCCTCCCAGCCTGGAGTCCCTGCTGCTGCAGGAAAACCGCATCACTTATATCACCTCAGGCGCCCTGCGGCAACTGGGGAACCTCACTCGCCTGGATCTGGAGGACAACCGCATCCGTGCCATCCAACCGGGGGCACTACAGGGTCTTTACAAGCTCCAGGTCCTGACACTGAAGGGGAACAAGCTCACAAGCCTCCCTCTGAATCTTCCACCGTCGCTGACCCATTTAGACCTTTCAGCAAACTGCATCTCTGTCCTGGATTTGCCCTCGCTGTCCGCCCTGGTCAACCTGCAGGTCCTGAAGATCAACAGCAACTGCCTGCGTTCAGTCCCAGAGAGTGCCTTCGATGGCCTGCCACGTCTCAGATCTGTGGACCTCAACAACAACCTCTGGGTGTGCGAGTGTGACATTTTGTATCTTTACCGCTGGCTGCTGAGTGGTAGGCTGAGGATGGCCACAGACCTGGTGTGCACAGAGCCCGTCCATCTCGCTCACCGTCTGCTTCTGGACCTCTCTGTTGTGGCTATCTGTCCTTGGGTCCTGAAGCCAAATGAGGGGATGCACCAACTGGACCTCAACTCTGCACTGGAGAGAAAGCTGGAGACGCCCAAAGTGAAGCCAACGGGACCAAGCTCATTTGAGAACAAGAGCTATTTGGGGAACTTGTTAGAGCAAATATCACAAAAAAACACTGTAGGACTCATTTCCAAAGATGCTCCCAAGACTCGTGTATTACTTGAACACTACTCTTTAGAGACCCTTACCTATGAGGAGTGTTTGTTGCTAAATAAAACCCAGTCAGTCAGCCCACCCCATTTACAAACCACTACTTCTCTCCCTGATGAGGGACACAAATGCAGAAACAACATCACAGGTCGGTACACTCAGATCAACGCAACCTCTGCGGAAGGGACACGATCTTTGCTTTCCACAAACAGAGATGCACCCCGGCCAACTCCCGACCCCCCACCGATCACACAACAAGACTCTGCAGTGGTAATCTCTCTGCTCGCAGTGTTATGTGTATTAGTAGTTGTCCTAATTCTGGCAGTGCTACTTGTACTGAAAAAGGTGCTTCTGCGCCAACAGAGGGTGGCTCCGCTAAACGTAGGATCTGGTGGATGACATCAGAGCAGACACACTGAAAATGTTTTTAACTCATTTAATTCACAATAAGCTCATGGTCTCATACAATAATCTGTATTATGTTTTGTATGTGTCCTTTGGCTGATGAACTAACTCCATTTTCACACTGAACCCTCCTCAAGAGACTGGCGATCTTATACAATCAAACCAAATAAAGCCCAAATGCCAAATAATATACAAAAGAAAAAACACATCTCAACCAGCAGTTTTATGATGCATCTTGGTCTGTGTAAAAACGTGCTGCAGAGTAGCAACACTGTTGAGCTACGTTGTTTAAATTTAAGGATCAGATATATTTCAAAATTCTTCATCATGAACTTCCTACTCCAAATTAAATTATGAAATAATTTCTGATCATCTGATGACAAGCAAACACCATAAACATCTGGCACTTGGACAATATAGTCTTAACTTGAATTCAAGAGAGTGACCCCACAACCCTTGTACCTGGAGATTTTTAAAGAGTATAAAACTCCCAGAAGGGTGCAAGACCTGTTGTAGTATTACGGTACTGAATCTTCCAAACAGCACTGCAGTGAGGCGTTACAGGGTTCATAATGGACAGTTAATAACAACATATTAACTGGTGGCTTGTACACGTTCCTCCTTCTTGTCCTGTTGTTTTAGTCTGTAGTCTGACAGCGCTGCTTTTATGGCATCTTCTGCAAGCACTGAAAGAAAAGGAGTGAGGTTTTAGAAACCCTTTGAGCATGAAATTAACACAGAAATAGCTTTTTTCTCTTTTAACCAAGAAATATATAGCCAGGCAACACATTTTAGGAAAAGCCTGAAGAAATTAGTTGAGAAACATCAAACTGAATGGCTTAAAATGTATGGCGAAAAAAAAAACCAAATGAGGGAATGATAATTTTGGGTTAATGGTGTTCATTTCTCCAGGTGACTTTCAGAAATGTGAAGAAGCTATTTCAAGGAGCATTGAAAGTGTTTTGGTGGCTCGTTGTGCGCCAACATCTTACAGAAACAATTTGCTTTTGGTTTTTTCTTTAATTTGTCATCCATCTGTATGCTTCAGGTGTAAGATAACACTGGCAATGTGTGTATGTCTTTAATTGTATTGCTTTGAACTTACTAGAGCAATGAAGCTTGACTGGAGGAAGGCAGAGTTCTTTGGCGATGTCAGTGTTCTTGATCTTCAGAGCTTCATCAACCTATGACATGACAGCAGACTTATCAGATCCTCAGCAAAAAAGGCTTTGTATTTGTAAAACCATTGTTCTCTGTTGCTTTTCATCAGTGTTATACCAACTCACAGACTTCCCCTTCACCCACTCAGTTGCTAGAGAACTGGAGGCAATGGCTGAACCGCAGCCAAATGTCTTAAATCTTGCATCAACAATCTTGCCAGTTTCGTCTACCTGGATCTGGAAACAACATACAATCAAACACATAGTTGTACAATATGAAGTTGGAAGTCGTGACAGCAGTAATTAGGCTGTAGTGAATCCCTGCTCCTGAACTCCAACTTACCTGAAGTTTCATCACATCGCCACAGGCTGGTGCACCCACCAAACCAGTCCCCACATTCTTTTTATTTTTGTCTAAAGAGCCTACATTTCTTGGGTTTTCATAGTGGTCCACCACCTTCAGGAAAGCCAAACAGAGAAAATGATATTTTATCGCTCTGTTGTTTAGAGTCATGTCTTAAAAAGAAAGTACAGGGATGGTGAAGTTAGCTAACATTAACTTACTGTCAAGACAACACACACGTAGCTTTGCTAACTTAACTGACAATAAAAGGTGACACTGGTTGGTTACAGTTATGGGTTCATAGACAACTGGTTACCTTTTTGTGATATGAACAGAGGGAATTCAGCTGCGGGCTGAATAATCTTCTGCTAAATAACAACAGCGAGGACGCAGAGTTTCGTAAGGAGACAGTCGCCATGTTCAGATGCCGAATATTGACGGAAATCAACGAGTGGGCGCGAGTCAAAAGGACCACTTTTTGTTGACAAACAGGTGAAAAAGGAAGCTGTCACCAAGGAAGGAGCCCCTACTAGTGGTTAACAGTAGCCCTTACATGTCAGGGGATCCACCAGGCTCCACCTCCCACTACACTCCTGGCGTGTTAGCTTGTTACCAGGCAGACGGCATTTTCAACATGGCAGCGTCGAGCAACGCAGAGGAAACGCAGTTGCAAGATATGGAGGAGGAAGACGCAGGGATGGCGGAGAAGAAGATGGAATCGGACGAAGAGGAGGAGGGCATGGGGATAGACAATTCAGACGACGAAGAGGACGATTCGTCGGAAGATGAGAAAGAAAATGAAGCCGAAATCCAGCGGTTGGAGGAGCAGGTAATTAGCCAACAACCCGAGCCGAGCTTAGTAAAACTAACGTTAGCCGACGAGCTAATGAGAATGAATGGATGGTAAACACAGTCAGCAACAACAGGACAGCAGCTTTAAATGTGTGAGCTGCTGTGGTTTAAGAGAAACTGAAAATACACTTACGTTAGCTGCAGTTATCGAAAACAATTAAATAAGCGCGTATGAAAACGTTACGTCATTAGTATAGCAGTCGTGATTAGCTCTACTGCTAATGTGTGATGCTAATGGGTTGTCTCGTGTCACGCGCCCTTTTTTTGACTACCTGAGACCTGTATGACCGTAACGTTACAGTTTTGTAGTACAGCAAGTGCAGTTAGAAAGTGCATGTGTAAATATAAAGTACACACTGTCCTAACTTTGTAAAGTGTAAGGTATTGGAGTCATAACGTCTCATAACTTTATTTATAATCCAAGCTGTGCGCAGGGACACAATGCAGTATCTGTTAAAACTAATACAACGGCCCTGCAATAAATCCCACCTTCATGAAGTTTATAACATTCATTTTTGTTAAAACTGTTTTAAAGAGGTGTTGATTCAACTTTAATATCATTATGGAGACTGCAGTTTGTGGTGCTGGTGAATAGTACTGCCTTTTATATTGAACTGAGAAATAAAACGTAATATTTAGTCTACCCTGAGTGAATTTAATTAACAAAATATTAGAAACACCCCTCTGTATAATGAAAACTACAGCCTCCAAAATGAACATAAGTATGCAAATGAGTGCTGTATGTATTGTTCCAACTATTTTGTGTGTCATTGTGGAAGTTCATTTATATATTTTTAATTGTATTGTTAGACGTCTTACCCTGTTTCATCTTTGTGATTTTTATTTTTTTTTTTAAGCTGTCAATCAATGCTTTCGACTACAACTGCCATGTGGATCTCATCAAACTACTGAAGCATGAGGGAGAGCTTTTCCGTCTGCGAAAGGCAAGGCAGAAGATGAGTGAACTGTTCCCACTCACTGAAGGTTGGTGTGTGTCTAACATGGTCTTGGGGAAGAATCTGTTGGACAGCAGCTCTGCATTATTTGCTGTTTAAACCGCATTTTGTTGAATCCTGCAGAGATCTGGCTAGACTGGCTCAAGGATGAGATCCGTCTGACTGAGGAGGAGCCAAATCGGGAGAAAGTATATGAGCTTTTTGAGAGAGCTGTAAAAGACTACATCTGTAAGTGCATCGTGCAGTTGTTGCTGCCTTTTGACTGGACATTTATGCATTGCACAATCCTAATATTCTGTGTATTTATACCCAGGTCCAGATATCTGGCTTGAATATGCTCAGTATTCAATTGGTGGCATGGGCTCACCAGGTGGGATAGACAGGGTGAGATCCATCTTTGAGAGAGCTGTGACAGCTGTGGGGCTTCACATGACCAAGGGACAGACGGTGTGGGAGGCGTACAGAGAGTTTGAGAACGCCATTCTGTCCACAGTACAGGTTTGTGTTTCCATCACTAAGGGAGGTTTTGTCAGTGGTCCAACACATACTGTTTTTGTTGCTATTTGATTGCATGGATATGCCAGAGAGATTTATTTTGAATGATGCAATGTGAAAACAATACTAGACAATACAAGATAGACACATGTCAGTTTAAAAACATTTTACTGTTGTACAGTAGTTTAGTATAATATGATTTGAGGTAATATCAATCTGTCTCTGTTATATTATATCAAAGCATGCTTTTAAGTGATAATCCACTCACTTAACTCAGAATAAACCCAAATACTATAAATACTGAATTGAATTCCTTTGACGTTGGACTAAATGGGCATTATGTCAAATTTGACGCCATTTTCTCTGCTTTTTTCCTCTCAGCCCCCCCCCGGCAGGATTCCCAGCCGCGAGGAGCAGGAGCTGCTCAACGCTCAGCTTGAGCGAATCCATACGCTGTTTCGTCGCCAGCTGGCCGTCCCCTTAATGGGTAAGCATGACGCCTCTTCTGTCCAGACAGGCTGATGTAAAATGGGCAAGATTCCTGTTGTGGTGGCCTGAAAAAACTGAATTACCTCATTTAAAAAGATAATGCTTCCTGGGATAAGTTTTGTGTTGCGCAGTTGAGATTTGGCTTTTGAAATGCCATACAGGCCATGAACATGCTTTCAGTTTATATTAGATAGATAGATGGATGTATACTTTATTTATCCCGAGGGAAATTCAAGTATCCTGTAGCATACGAAACACAGTAAAACAGTGCAAAAACAGTAAACAGTGCAGATGGAAGTAAAGAGTACAGATTTTGTCTGTTGTCCTCCCTGCCATGGCTAGGAGCTGTTGTACAGTCTGATGGCCAGGGGGGGACAAAAGAGTTTTTAAGTCTGTTGGAGGAGCTGGGCTGGGACAGCAGTCTGCCACTGAACACACTCCTCTGCCCGATGAAGGTGTTGTGCAGAGGGTGGTGGGCGTTGTCCAGTATGGACAGCAGTTTGTTCAGGGTCCTTCTTTCTGCCACTGTCACCAGAGAGTCCAGCTCTGAGCCCACCACTGAGCCAGCTCTCCTCACCAGTCTGTCCAGTCGACCGGCATCTCTCTTCTTGCTCCTTCCTCCCCAGCAAACTACAGCATAAAAGAGGACGCTGGCCACCACAGACTGGTAATACATCTGTAGCAGTTTTTTGCAGATGTTGAAGGACCCCAGCCTTCTCAGGAAGTACAGACGGCTCTGCCCTTTTCTGTGGAGAGTGTCCATATTTTCTGTCCAGTCCAGCTTGTCATCCAGTCCTGACCACCTCCACATCGACCCCCTCGATGGACACAGGTTGGCGATGTGGTTTCTTCCTTCTGAAGTCCACCACCATCTCCTTGGTCTTGGAGGTGTTCAGCTGCAGATGGTTGATCCTGCACCACCTCACAAAGTCCTCTACCAGGCTCCTGTACTCCTCCTCCTGTCCATCCTTGATGCAGCCAACTATCACAGTATTGTCTGAGTATCTCTGCATGTGGCAGAGCCCGGTGTTATACTGGAAGTCAGATGTGTACAAGGTGAAGAGGACGTGAGAGAGCACGGTCCCCTGTGGTGCTTCGGTGCTGCTGACCACCGTGTCTGCCGTGTGGCCCTTCGGTCTGACGTACTGTGGTCTCTCTGTGAGGTAGTCCGTAATCCATGTCACCAAGTGTGGGTCGACCCTCATCTCTGTCAGCTTGTCTCTCAGCAGGAGCGGCCGGATGGCGTTGAAGGCACTGGAGAGAGAGACTAAATGAAAATGTACACTTCTCTATTGTACTTTTGTAAATACTGGATGTGGTGTATGTATCCTTTTATAGATAATGTTGAAAAGGGAATAGAAACTTTGAGAAAAGTGTGCTCTGTTACTTTGTAGACATGGAAGCCACCTATGCCGAGTATGAGGAGTGGTCTGAACACGGGGTGCCTGAGATGGTCATACATCAGTACAAAAAGGCTTTGCAGCAGATGGAGAAACGCAGGTCTTTTGAAGAGTCACTGGTAACTGATTTGCATAGATTCTCTACATTTGTCCTCTGTCACTTTATGTGCATCGTTTTTGCAGTGCATAACATCTGCATGATGTTGTCTTGCCTGCAGCTGGTAGCAGAACCCCCTAAGCTGGCAGAGTATCAGGCCTACATCGACTTTGAACTAAAGGAGGGTGACCCAGCACGGATTCAGATAACCTTTGAGCGGACTCTGGCAGAGAACTGCCTGGTACCAGACATGTGGGCAAAATGCACCACCTATCTTGTGAGTATGGTCACTGTTGTGTGTGGGGCTGTTTGTCTATTAAACCTAGGGTAGTTAATGTATTTCAGAAGCATTTCTTGTTATTTGTCGAAATTGTTTACATCCCGTCAGCAATACAACAATCAAATGCTTTGGGGGGGATTCCGTGTAAAATAAGCCCAACCAATCATTTCATTCAGTCCAAGGCCTGAAGGGAAGGGCTGGAGTTTTTTTTTTTTCTCTCGGTTGGATACTTAAAAAATCTAGCTGTCTCATGCTAGTTTCTCCAACGTTACCTACCGCAGCTTTAAAGGGCTCCCAGTCAGACTGTTGTTTGCTGTGTAGAGTTTGGATTTCACATGCCATTATCTCTCAGTCCGACTTCTCTTAATCAGTGCCTGAAACTTGCCAACTCCATCATCTGCCAGCAAGGGCTAAACAGCTATGATCACAATGTTGCACTGAGCTTATCTGGATAAATTACAGCCAGTGATTTCACCAACAGCTCTTAAAAAAATTGATTCATGTGTCTGACAGTAAGTGTCAGTCACAAGATATGTCTTGTATAGAAATTTCTTTTCAAATTAGTAGTTAAAGTGTCCACATCTATTTATGTTAAATGTGATTCTGTATTACTCATGTTTGGGATTTTTGAAGTGGGCCTGTATGAGGTACTTATCCATAGTCATGTATTACCTGCAGTAGATGGCGGTCAGCATGTCTTCAGTTTGTTACATTTATTCATTTAGCTGACTCTTTAATCCAAAGCAACTTACAATTGCTAATTATGTCAGAGGTTGCACGCTTCTGGAGCAACTAGTGGTTAAGTGTCTTGCTCAGCGACACATTGGTGTCTCACAGTGGATTCAAACCCGGGTCTCTCATACCAAGTTATGTGTCTTATCCACTTCACCATCACCACCACAGCTGTTAGAAGCAGAGAGTTGTACTGGTACATAAGCTTAGTAATGTACTGCTGTGGATAGGGTCAGAAGCAAAACATACTTTAGTCCCCTAAATGAAGGCCCACCAAAACAAAATCAATATCTGTCAAGTGTACGCTATATTTAGAATATTTCTGCCGCTTTACCTTTCTGTCAGATGGCCATTTCCTTTACACGGTGCGTAGTCAATTTGTAGGAACATGGAAGTTCTTTGGTTGAGTTTGGTTTGAGTTGTAGTTCTGAGGAAAATGTATAAAGAGCTGAAAATATTTAACACATAGCGGCCTTCTTTTAGGGGCTAAAATATGTTTTGCTGCTAACCCTGTCCACAGCAGTACATTGCTTAGCTTCCATACCGGGAGAATTCTTGCTTATCCAAACCAGAGACACGCCGACTGCCATCTATGGCAAGTAACACATGACTATGGAAAAGTACCTCATACTGCCTTGCTTAAAAAAAAATCCTGATCTATCCCTTTTAATGGTTTGGCTGGCTTCTTTAGTGTTGAGCAGCATGATAAAAACAGCCAGCCTATATTAATACACTTTACCATTCTGAAGGAAAATCTGATGGGATGTTAGATAATGTGGTTGCGTAAGAAAGTGACTCTTTAAATCTTCAGTGATAAATCTTTAAGCTTGTTTAAGATCATTTTAATTGTTTTGTTATTTGTTTTCTCTGGCTTTACAGGATCGTCAGCTGAAGGTGAAAGACTTGGTTCTTTCCACTCATGAACGTGCTGTCAGGAACTGCCCCTGGACCATGGGTCTGTGGAAGAGCTACCTGCAAGCTCTGGAGAGGAATGGAGCTGACCATCAGACTGTCTCCGGTAACAACTAGAGTGCTAGAGTTTTTAAATAGTAGAAATTTCCCAGACCCTTATTATACTGAAATTTCCTTGGCCTTATGTAGTTTTCGTTGTCTTCCTCACAGATGTTTTTGAAAAGGCGCTAAATGCAGGTTTCATTCAAGCGACAGACTATGTGGAAATTTGGCAGGCGTACCTCGACTACCTGAGGAGACGTGTCGATTTTAGCAAAGGTGAGAGCGGTTGTCTGTGGATTTGTCTTTGTGTTTGGAAACCATTTAATTTACTCATTTTTCCCATGGTAATGATGTTTCTTTTTTTTTTTTTGTCTTTTTGCAGAATCAAGTAAAGAGTTAGAGGAGTTACGAGGAGCTTTCTCTCGCTCTCTAGAATACATGAAACAAGATGTTGAAGAAAGTAGGTGGATTTGAGTCAGACAGATTTATTTTTGTTCTACCAGTGGTTCGGGATTCATACAACTCATTTTTTTGTTTCACTGTAGGGTTTGGTGAAAGTGGAGATCCATCCTGTATCATAATGCAGATCTGGGCAAGGATAGAGGTAAGAGTTGTCTTTCTGTTATGTTGAATTGTGTTTAACCCTCTGTTATTTTGAGTTGTTTTTATGTATTATTGTCTTAAATGTGATTATTGTGTACCTTCTGAGGGTAATGAGAGTGTCCATTTCGATAGTTATCATAAAAAATCCATATTGATTTACAATGAAACCATATAAACCTAATCTCATACACCCCCTAAATAAAATTATATCTTTTAATATCTTTTTGATATTAAAACAAAAGTCTGCACAAATTAACATCTAATGTTTTTTTTCTGCCTACCAGGCCCTCCACTGCAAGAACATACAAAAAGCCAGAGAACTGTGGGACAGTATCATGACAAAAGGGAATGCCAAATATGCCAACATGTGGCTGGAGTACTATAACCTTGAAAGGTCTGTCAATCCATGTCCGATGCCTTTGTGATCATTTAAGCAAAACTTGCATATACTTGTATCAGTTCTTGAATATGTTTTTATTTTTTTACTTTATCCATAGGTCTTATGGAGACCCTGTTCACTGCCGGAAAGCTCTCCACAGAGCAGTTCAGTGCACCTCAGACTACCCTGAGCATGTGAGTGAAGTCCTGCTCACCTTTGAGAGGGTGGAAGGTGAGTACCGATTCAAAGATAATATAAAAATCAAAGTGATCATAAAAGTAAAGAAGGTTTTCATGAATTCCAGTGTGTCTCTGTATTTTGTGTCCTCGCCTACAGGTTCGCTGGAGGACTGGGACGTGGCGGTGCAGAAGACAGAGACCCGGCTGAACAGGATTAATGAGCAACGAGCTAAGGTAGGAGCACATATCAGCATTGTACCGGGCAGGTGTATCCGTTAGCTGCTTTTGGCTAATGTTGCCATGTTCATCTGTTAGGAGGCTGAGAAAGAAGCCAACATGGCCCGCCAAGACGAGGACAGAACTGATCAGCGGCGGAAAACCAAGACAGACAAGAAGGCTTCGAAGAAGGCTTTCCAGAAGGGAACTCGAGCTGGGGAGAAGAGGAAAGGAGACCACAATGATAATCAGGATGAGTGGACTGATTTTGCAGGTAAATGATGTGTTTGATAAACATTTAAATTTTTTAAGCAAAAATTACGCCTGACAAAGTGTTTCCTGATCCATCTTTCCCTCTGTGACTGAACAAGCTAAAAGGCATAGAGGAAATGGGAACCAAACCACAGAAGAGTCCATGGAGACCGAGACAGGACTCTTTGGGAGGAATGCTCCACCTGGCAGTAAAAAAGCCCAGCAAGGAGTCGCGGCCGCTGCCCAGAAACAGAACGATGACAGGCCAGAGCTTCGCAACGATAACTGCAGCGTTTTCATCAGCAATCTGGCATACACCCTGGAGGAGCCAGAGGCAAAGCTGAGGACACTGTTTGAGACCTGTGGTCCCATCACACAGGTTCGCCCTGTCTTCAGCAACAAAGGGAGCTTCAAAGGCTACGGCTATGTACAGTTTGAATCCCCAGTGTCTGTCCCTGAAGCCCTGAAGCTGGACAGGCGGGAGGTGGAGGGCCGGCCCATGTTTGTGTCACCATGTGTAGACAAAAACAAAAATCCTGACTTTAAGGTAAATATGAATTCATTTATTATAACCAGAGTATCTACAGGTCTTAAAGTCTTAAAATCATTATTGACTTTAGAATGTATTAAATAAACAAATATATAATTTACATAATAACATGCAGTACAAGTGACCACTTCACATGAATGTCCCCGTAGGTGTTTAAATACAACACATCCATGGAGAAAGAAAAAATCTTCATCTCTGGGCTGCCGTTCTCCTGCACTAAAGAGCAACTGGAGGAAATGTGCAAAGGTCACGGCACAATCAAAGACGTCCGTCTGGTCACGTATCGCTCAGGAAAACCTAAGGTGAGGCATGAAGAGGAGGACAGAAAAAAAAAAAAATCATCATGATTACCACGTTTGACCATGCAGATGTGGAGCAAGGTTGAGGCGTTTAGAGTCTGTGTTTGGTGTAACCCTCTGTCGCTGTGTGGCTCTCTGCAGGGTCTGGCGTATGTTGAGTTTGCAGATGAAGCCCAGGCTTCTCAGGCAGTTCTGAAAATGGACGGCATGGACGTAATGGGCAACAAAATCTCTGTTTCTATAAGTAACCCTCCTCGCAGAAACATGATGGATAAACCTGGTTCCAACAGGCCCTCGACAGACGCGATCCCTCGCCAGGTCCATGGCTCGTAAGTTTATTGACTTGCTTCTGTCACGCCAACTGAAAGGCTCTGAAAGTCTGCCGTTCTCAGATCTGTAACTGTTTTCTTTTTCCAGGAGAGGAAGGGGGCGCACCCAGCTCTCATTACTCCCTCGTTCCCTGCACCGACAAAGTGGACCACCAAGCAAAGTGGAGAACGGGACTGCTCCTGAGCAGGTGAATGCAGCTGGAGAGACTAAACCTTTGTCAAATTCAGACTTTGCCAGGATGCTTCTCAGCAAGTGAGGAGATGAACGAGAGAGCATTACAACCACCTTCACACTGAAAGCCATCTTGTGTCTTTATAAAGTAGTGTTGGTGATTTTTCTGTAATTGGTTACCTGGCTTCCCTTTAATCTCAGTCTTGTTCTCATCATGCGGTCTGTGAGATTGCCTTAATCGCTGAGCTCCTTCCCTCCATCAGTAACCCCTTTTCAACCAAGACTTTTCAAAAGTGTGACAGATTGTTTCTGTTTTGGTTTGTTGGGAGGTGGCTGGCAGGCTATTTTATACAAAAAGTGTATCATATTTGTGTGTAAATATACTGTATCTAAAAATTGTTCCCTTCATGTTGCAAAGTTTCTTCTTTTGTCGTATAATGTGAAAGGGACCTGAGAGAAACAGACGGGAGAGTATTTTTTTAAATATTCAAAACAGCGAAACTTGTTAATGTTGTTTTAAAAAGGCTATATGCAAAAGTTCAGATGTGGTGTAATATAGCTGGTGTGTATGTGTGTGTGCGTGCATGTAAGGTGGATGTGTTTAGTTATGAAAAGACATTCTCCAGATGTTTTAGGAAACGTAGGATTTTTGTTGTTTTTCTAATTGTAGCTAACAGCGAATTGATTGTTTTTACATATCACCTTTCAGTTACCATCTCATATTAATCACCATTATAGTGATGCTTTGGAGTACACAGCAAATTATTATTAGTTCATTGGTTTTATCTTGCCATGAGGGCATGTTATCAGTACAAAAACTGCCCTAATGTCATGTCACACTGCTGACGCTTGATATCAGTTATAGTATTTACAGAAATAAGTATAAGGTCTCAAGATTTCTGTTTTCATACATCACTTTCATCACTGGTCATGTGACCCGTCTGTCCAGATTAAAAACATCCATCAGATCACATATTTATTTAGCTAAGAGTCTGAAATGATGTGCTGTTGACCGAAAGATTCATATCCCCTTCATCTTGTGGAATTCATATAATGCACATGTACCATGGTGTTGATGCTGAAGAAATGTTTTTAATTTCATTAACTTCACATGAAAACTAATTTACCTGACTGTCCAGAGCTGCATCTATTTTGATTTCCTTTTTTTTTTTTTTTTACCTTATGGCAACCATTTGATGACATTGTCTTTGGCTCTAGGACAGTGCAAAGGGCCTTTTTCAGTTTTGTAGATTGAACAATTAATTGATAATGAAAATAATCGTTCCCATGCAGTAGTCCGTTGATGCAAGAGAAGACATTCGTTTAAGGCATTAAAAAGAGTTGGAATACGACCATTCATGCTAGGAAGTACATGTGTACACTCAGACTTTACAAACTGAAACCTAAGTAGTTTTAGACGTGGTTTGGTCCTGGTTTTCTTTGTGTGTTCGGTAGAGTTGAATTCATCTTCTGAATTGACCTGTTAGCTGACGGCTCTTCAGTATTCTGGTAAAGAGGCGAACTCTGTCAGCTACACATTATTTAGGTCTGCAGCTCCTTCGATATAAGAGAAGAGAATCTATGCAGTTTTCCATTTCAGTTTTGTCCCATTTTAGGAGTCGACCTTGTTTCCACTTGGATGTTAACAATTCTGTACATAATGTTCAGTATAATATTTCAAACAGGTCACCATAGTTTGTAATAAATATAAATCAGTTTTCAAAGAAGATGGAATACAAGCTATATGAATTGCTCTCACCACAGTGGCCTAATCTAAAAAATAAAAAACTGTCGGTCTCCAGAAATCGCCTGTTTTATGTTTAGTACTAAAAGGTGGTATGTGTGTGTTGCTGTTTTGTATAATTTCTATAGTTGATGTTTTGAATTTGGTATAGAGGTAAAATGGCTATTTTTAATTTTTTTTGTTCACAGTATTTATTTTCCAGCTTGTGTAATTATCTACTCTTGCGTTTTTTGGTCCTGTAAAAAAAATGAAAGTCATGTCCTGGTTTTTTTTTTTTTTTTTTTCTGGTCTAAAATTTGTTTTAATAAAATAATGTTATTCTTCTGTGATCCCAGTGTGACACTCGCAGCTTGGTTTGTTCTAAAAGAAGTTTACAACCTAAAGTCATTAGGCTATAGAAAGTTAATGGAACACTTTTATTTTAAAATAAAATAAATAAATACACAAAAGTGCTTTACAGTGTTATGAGACATCATCTTTATCCTACACAAACACTACACATCTGCCATCCATTCAAATATTTCTTTTACTCAGTTTTCCTGTGATAATTTTCTTGTGATCTCGAGATAAACCACAGCCGAAGAGAGGGGCCGTCCTGTGTGTTTCGAAAGAATAATTTCAGGGCACCTTACAGTGTCACTGATTAGCTCAGTTGGTAGAGTACAGGACTTATAATCAAAGGATTGTGGGTTTTACTCCTGCTTTCAGCAACTTTATTTTGTCGTCTTTTGTGTGTTTTTAGTATCCTCTTCAAATTTGTTATGAGGAGATTCAGTGGAATCCAGTCACACATTTCCCGACGGCCATTTCAAAGGTTCCAAAATAGCCGTCAGGAAATGTGTAACATTAAATGGATTCCCCTGAATGAGAAGCAGAAGAATTTCCTCTGCATGGGAATGACGGGGAAATGAGAACGCCAGAGGTTGATGGATGTGGCCCAATCGCCATAAGAACTTTGTTAGAGGATTATGAAAAAGATATATAAAAAAAAAAAAAAACAGTTGCTTGTCCGTGAGGCTCAAACCCACAACTCCAAGAGTACGAGTCCTATGCTCCACCAACTGAGTAGTGACCAGCTACACTAATACACATAGTGAAATCACCATTAAACCACAGTTATCTCGAGATCAGGAGTACAAAAATGGATGGCAGCTTAGGGCTTCCGTACTAAACACGGCAACATCTGATTTCAATTCAACATCCTGCCGCAGTTTCAATGAATTCAGCAGGTAAAAGGCCCAAACTGAATTAAAGGGCTGGTAAGGTAGGAAACAGACATGGGTCAAGGCAATTCAACCCAAATCTATGATTTTTATTCAAGAGCTTTTAAATGAATCAAAAGCTCTCCTTGCATGCTCCCTTTCTCCTCCCGTCTCCAGCTCAGTTGCGGATCGGGATGGTCTGCTTGCATTCGGGACAGGCCTGGTTCTGGCCGGCTGCCGGCAGCCCCACAGCATGCTCTGTTGTAGAAATCAACAATGTGTCCAATGTCATCTCTGTACATCTGGCTATAAAGCGAATGAAGGGCCGCACATCACCCTCATTGGCTGTGTCTAGAGCTGCATAATACTCTGCCCTCTGTTCTTTGCGGATGGTGACAGGTGGGTATCGCGCTTGCATGAGCACGAGGTTCATGAGTAGCCGTGATGTGCGTCCGTTGCCATCTACAAATGGGTGCACGTACACCAGTTTGTAGTGGGCGAGAGCTGCGTACTCCACAGGGTGCAGCTGCAGGGCCTCCTCGGAGTTGAGCCACTGAACAAGCTCCTGCATGTGTCTCTGCAGGTCCTGAGGGTGGGGGGGAATGTGGTGGCCCACAAACACCTGGCTGGTGCGCAGCCTCCCTCCCTCCACGGGGTCTACGTAGCCGAGCACCCGCCGGTGAATCTCCAGGATGTCACTAACAGTCATGCCTCCTGTTCTGGACAACAGCGTGGTGTTGATGTACTTCATGGCTGCGTCCACGCCGATAGCCTCATTCTGCTCCTGCAGGCTCTTCCCGGGGACGGCGTAACGCGTCTCGATGATGTGACGGATCTCGGAGAGAGTGAGCGTGCTGCCTTCAATGGCCACTGTGTGGTAGATGTGGTGGTAGTAGGTTTCCTCCATCACTCTGCGGAGTGCAGAGTTGCCTTTAGGAATGGACATGAGCCGGCGCACTTTACTGTCAATGATGCCAAAGTAACGCTGGTCAATCTCTTCCACCAAGGGAAGAGTTCGGTCTCGGCTGACCAGAGCCCTCTCATTACATGGCGAGATGGCCAAGGCTTTGGTGTAGAGGTGGTCTGCCTGGACGACATCCTTCTCCTCCTCCAGAATGGTCCCCAGCTCCGTTAGGGCGTCCACAAAGTCTGGATTCACACTGAGTGCATGCACCAGTAGCTTGTGAGCTTTCTCCCTCTTCCCCAGTTTCTTCATCTCCAGAGCTTGCAGCAGCGCTGCTTTGGCCTCCAGCTCCATCTCTGCAATCAGAACATGATGGATGGCGTCAGATCCAACACAGCAGAATAATACAGAAGGTGTGTTCAATACTGGGGAATACAGAAAATAAATATCATGATATCCAAAGTGCCTTATTCAAGTAGTGAAAGACAAACTAGAATCCTCAGAAAAATATGCTTTAATATTGCAATTATAGATTAAAATTGATATTAGAGCTGCTTTCGCGCTTAATTAACCTACTGCCTTATTGAAAAGTTGCTTGCTCTATAACATGTCAGAAAATTGTGTGAAAATGGCACAATCTCAATTTCCAGGAGCCAGAGGTCAGAAGTCTTTAACAACTAGAAACCGCAAAATATGCAATTTACAAACTGCATGAAACGCAGAAAAGCCTCATATTTAAGAACCAGGAAACGGTGAGTGTTTTTTTAGTCTTGATAAATAACTAATTAAACTACTCTCACGACTCTTTAGAGTGAAAACAGACAAACCCTCATGTGGTTAGTTATGCAGTAACGTTACTGCACACGTGTCTGTTCTTGTCTGTAACATCTGTTACTAAGTTGAACTGTGAATTTAATGAATCAGTAACGTGACACCTCTTCTCCTTCGTACCTTTGCTCGGCTTGGCCTTCTGGGGCAACAGATCAAGCGCGGTAAAGGGGACCGTGAGGCTGGTGGACTGCACAGCTGGAGGCGGCTGAGAGCTTCCCCACAGCTGGCAGCGAAGGTGGGCGATGCCCTTCCGGGCGGCGCAGCATTGGTCCTCCACCCCCACCAGGGGCAACAGGAGGGCCACCAGAGAGCCGAGGAGGACACACAGCAGCGGGCCCCATCCCCCGAGAACACGGCCGCTGGTGTAACGCCACACCGTCACAGCAACCATGATGTGTCCAAGTTATATCCTCCATCCTCTAGTGACGCTGCCTCCCATGTATATCCGGTAAGACGGTCAACATGACAGCTGGGAATCCGCAACACTACCGAGGAAATTCAGCTCAGTTACCCAACTTTTACAGCTCGTACGTGAGCTAAGTTTGCTAGCTGCTAGCTCTCTGTCGCATTAATGTGACTCTAAGCTGAAACTCAGACTAAACTAACCATTAGACGGCGGTTCATTTGCTCTCGGCGTTAGTTGTATCATTGATGGTCTTATTATACATCCATGAGTTGTACACAAAATACGCACACCATCGACTTCCTTGGTCTGGACGTGTGAACATCCTGAAATATAATTGGTCAGAATTGTACTAAAGAGCGACGCCGATTGGGTAAAACGCAGCGACACAACATATGGTACGTAACCGTCTCTGATTGGGTGATTCTGAACATTTCAGCCCTAAGTTTCGACTGTCAGGAAATACCTTTTGGGTAAAATGATATGCATTACGTAGTGATAGATATAATTTGTGATTTAATTGTGTTTCCCTGCTTGTGATGCAGTTATATAACGTTTAAAATATTTTAATTCACTTCCCGTATTTGTATTTATATATGTTTATTAAGTCAATTTACATTTTTTTATTTATTTTCATTTGTCATTTTTATTTTTTGAAAGATTTGATGTTTGATATTGTTTTAACTGTTCTCAAATGGTCAGGGGCATCGCACAAAAATCTGGGCCCTGTACATAGGCATTTTCTTTGGGGCCCTCCCCATATCTGTCAACATTGGGTTTCGAAAATAAGGGAAATCATTAGCGACATTTTCAGGTGACTCCCCATCCCGCAAAGTGAAAAATATTATATTTTCTGCATAATATTCTGAAATTAAATAAAACAGGAAGTGATTGGCTATAGAGAATAAAAAAAGATTAGTATTTTATTTGGCCTGTGTCTTTCATTTCATATATTGGCATATCATTTTCTTGCCATTCATTATTAAAGAATAGTTGATTGAGATCAATAACTAGACAACCTGATGGCATTGACCGCCAACACTATTACTAACTTTATGGGAGTGTGTAGTAATCCACTATCACATAATTTGCATTAAGGAACTTGAATTTGATATTTGATATTTTTATTTACTGAGCATTTTTGATTAGGCAGCTACAGCTTTCCTACCAGTTGTCCTTCCTCTAAAATTTTAATGAGCTGTACTAACACACAGAAGAGGGCAGCATTGCTCTGTCATGCAAGCATCACAGTCATAGTATGGCATATTCTCTGAAGATTGCAGTAGCAACTCTTGGCCTCAAAATCAGTATAATCAAGATGTATTATTATGATATCCAGTTTGTGAAGGCAACAAAAAGGAATCTGTATTAATATGAAGCAATATTAATATCTTCCTCCTTGCTGTGCTGCCTCTGTCTATTACCATTTTGTAATCTTTCAATTCTGTTTATACTCGTCCTTCAAGTCATTGGTATTCGGTTCTGTTATATGTATTTTTGTTAAAAGCTTTTATACTTTTATTCATCTATTTAGAGAAATTGCCTTTAGAGAAATTACCAACAGCTGGGACCAGCCTGGGGTGATGAGGATTGATTCCTGGCTGCATGCCAAAGCCACCACTATTAGACATATCTTTAGCAGATGGCAGACTAAATAGCTGATATTCACCCACAGCCTGAGACTCTGCAGCAACAAGCTGCGGATACAGACAGTGCAGAGA